ATAAGGTAACTAAGTGAATAAAGGCTATATATCCTGTGCTTTACTTTGTGTCTTAGTCTGAGATTACACAATTTTCTGGGGGGGATTATCACTTTCCACCACATCTCAATTTGGTCAAAGTGAGAGAGATGTTAAAACCTATCCAGTCAATTTGTGATTACTGATTCTGATGGGAGGATGGTGAAAATTTGGATAACTTAAAGATACAAATTTTTTTTTTAAAAATCCCTTAATTTTAACAGTTATCCTCAATCTTTCTTTTTTCTACTAAGTTTTAGAAATGATATCATTCTCATAGCACAGCCTCCACTGAAGTCTTTTTCCTCTCCAATATGCCCCACTGGGGCTTGGAGGTCATTCTGGGTTCTTGGAGGGTATGCCAGAAAAGTCCAAGCTCTGGTAGATTCTCCCAAACTGGAAAGGCTCTGAGGGCAGACCTAGCAATGAATGGAAGTTATGATTCTTTGTCCATACATGTAAATGTTGCTAGATAGAATGTAAGCTTGTCGAGGCAGGAATTGTTTCATTTTTGTCTTTGTGTGTGGATTCTTGGCACATAGAAGGTGCTTAACAAATGCACATTGATTATTTGACTAATTGTTTTAAGAGGACGAGTCTGGTAAAATTCAAAAAGGTTCATCACCAGTTTGGTTTTGAGGGAGAGGGGAGCAGTGGGTTTTTTTCTGGCCACAGAAACTTTCAAAGATTGCTGATCAAGTTGTAGTGAGTTAATCTGTGTTAGTGGAAGGGGTAACCACATTGATAAAACCACAGATCCTCGAAGTGCTGAATTAAGTATTTTAAAGACAGAACTGGTAGTGAACTGCCAAATCCATTGGTCCAAACTCCCCTTCCTTTCCTGTTCTATTTACCTTGTCTTGATGGGGATGTTGACTATACAAGGGAGGGTGAGTGACTACGAACACAGGTCCAAACAAAGTGTCATGAAGAATCGGGATATAGTTTCAACCATTTGTCATGCATGTTGTATGGGAGATACATGTCAGGGGGCTGAAGCAATAAACTCTGAGATCCTTTCCAGTTTGGGGATTTGGTGACTCTAGTATTCTATGCAAGATGGTGACAATCTTGGATGGAGATGATGCTACAATTCTGTCCTTTCACAAATGGAAGGTGATGTGAAAAAGGCATTCACAAACTAGTAGGTGCAATGGGTTTATACTGAGAAAAGGTATATATTTGCTAGAATGCTATGCAGGATCAGGGGTCGGGGGAGAAAAGGGTGTAGTGTGCCCATGGAGGAAACATTTCCTCTCTACACAATTAACTGGCCTATAGGGGAGATAAAACCAGTAACACTGCCCTCATTAGCAACATGCTCTAGCCAACTGAGCTAACCAACATGTTAATTAGCAAAGAAATACCCAAAAGGCAGGCAGCTGGAGAAAAGAAGAACAGAAGCAAAAGACCTAAATAATAAGTCCTTGAATAATTCAGTGTCGTCTGTACAGACCATGCTACCACACTGGAAGCTACTTTTCATATGGGTGGGGATCAGTGCACTAAGAGGGAATTAGAGAAACCTAGAATCATGTTGTTGTAGTTATTATTATTACCAATATTGTCATCAATAATGATCATTTAAAGGTTTTATAGCAGTGATAATTACTAGTAATGTTAATATTACTATCGATGGGGATACTTATAAAGGGCTTTGTTACAAGCTTTAAATAATCACCATAAAATACGACAAGGTAGAAAGTAATAGGTTGAGTAGAAAGTGTTTTCTTTTCTTGGTCTAGATACATGAATTCATTGGGTATGCAGGGGTGGGGAACCTGCAGCCTCAAGGTCACATGTGGCCGTCTAGGTCCTTGGGGCAGCCTTTTGACTGAGTCCAAGTTTTATAGAATAAATAATTTTATTTAGCGGATTTATTCTGTGATGTTTGGATTTAGTCAAAGGGCCACATTTGAGAGCCTAGGGGCCACGTGGGACCTCGAGGCCACAGGTTCCCTACCTTTGGTCTAGATATATGAATTCATTGAGTATAGGGTAATGCCAACGAGGACACTCCTTCTATCAATGCAAATCTAGAACTTAAGAGTCTGAAGGCAGAGATTCTTAACTCATGGCCTGTGTACTTCTGTGTTTTAAAAAATTTTTAAAAATATTTTGGTAACTGCATTTCAATATAATTGTCTGTCTTTGTAATCCTATATATATTTTATTTTGTGCATTTAAGAAAAAACTTTATTCTGAGAAGAGGTCCATAGGCTTCCCAGACTTCCAAAGAGGTCCATGACACACAAAAAAAGGTTAAGATCCCTTGTTTTAGAGAGTTGCCTGGGACACAGAGACATAAAATGAATTGCCTAGGATCACACAGTCTATTTGAGCCAGAGGTAAACTTTGAACCAAGATCTTCTTGAGTATAAAGTCTACTTTCTATCCACTATGCCAACTGCCTCTCAGCTCCAAGATCTAATGATAATGATCATGATAATAATAATAACAGGTAGAATTATATAGCACTTTAAGATTTGCAGAGAACATCACAAATATTGTCTCATTTGAATCTCACAACAATCCTGGGAGATAGGTACTATTATTATCCTGATTCTACAAATCAGGAAATGGAGGCAAACAGAGGATAAGTGACTTGCCCAGGGTCACACAGTTAGTAAATGTCAAGTATCTGAGGCAGGATTTGAACTCAGAACTTTCTGATTCCACTATCCACCTAGCTGCTGCTTCTTTTTTTTTATTCTTTTTTTTTGGGGGGTGGTGAGGCAATTGGGGTTAAGTGGCTTGCCCAGGGTCACACAGCTAGTAAGTGTCAAGTATCTGAGGCCGCATTTGAACTCAGGTCCTCCTAACTCCAGGGCCAATGTTCTATCCACTGCTCCATCTAGCTGTCTCTTGCCTAATTGCTTCTAACAATAATTCACACTTATATAGAGCTGGGGCAGTAATAGTAGATGAGAAAAGAGCAAACGTGAATAACACAGGCGGTCATTAGACACAAACTCATTGTTTTGAAGATGCTTATGATGGCCATGTAATTTCAGAGCCCGTTACCACCAAGAGAAAAACAAACAAACAAAAAAGGCTATGGGTGAGGAATCAAACCAAGAAGACTACCATCGCCCTTGTCATCCATCACAAACAGACACTAAAAACAGGAGTTCAAATATCCTTCAAATGTCTCACAGAGCCCTACAGTTTTAGAGTGGAAAGAAACCTTCGATTTATTCCCATCCCCATCACCCCATTTTCTAGATGAGGAAACTGAGGCTTATACAGGTTGAATGACTTGGCCAAGATCGAATAGCTAATCAGAGGTAGATCCAACACTGGAACCTCCTGGCAGCACAGAGCTCTTCCCACTATCCCATACCAACACTGAATAGTCACATCAAATTTTCTAGGTTTTCCATTTAATCAAGAATTTTTTTTTTTAAGCATAAGGATTGAAACTAGCCCAGAGTTCCTAACAAAGGAAAGTCCAACACCCACATTCTGAGATTCCATTCTTGGAATAGCACGCACCCAGGTCTGCCTCCACTCCTGGAAGAGTGGGTCTAAGACGGTCAAGGAAGGTAAGCATTAAGAGTAAACCCTAAGCATTTAGATGTGTTGACTTTGCATAGTTCTGTAGGAACCTTCACACGGGCACATCCTTGCTTAAAGCACAGGAGGGCCTGGGGAGAAAGAAGCCTCTAAACTTTCAGGAAACTTCATTCAAAAAACTTAGACAACCTGCAGAACAGAGCCGATGCCCACTATTCGCTCTAATCAAAGAGACCAGATTTTGACTTCATTTATCTTATATTAGCTGTTTTGCTGTAAAGTAGTAGAAATACAGCTAGGCGTCAATTCATGACACGGCTGGGAGAGAGTTTAACTACTCGTTGTGGCCTTAGACAAATCTTGTCTGGACCAAAGACATCATTCTGGAAGAGACCTCAGAGGTCATGTAGTGTGACCCTCTCATTTTACAAAAGAGGAAACTGAGGCTCAGGCAGGATAAGTGAGTTGCCCAAGGGACACAGAGCTAAGTAAGGGGGCAGGGGGATAGATATTCTAACCCAGAACCTCTGAACTCCACAACCACATAGGATGCATTCTATGGGTGTTTCAATTCAGTTCTAGTAAATAACAGGTTAAGGGGCAGGGGTGTGGCTCAGGCAACTAAGTGGGGCAGTGGATAGAGTTCTGGGCCTGGAGTCAGAAAGACTCATCTTCAAGAGTTCAGATATGGCCTCAGATACTTATTAGTTGTGTGACCCTGGACAAGTCGATTAACCCTGTCTGCCTCAGTTCCTCAACTGTAAAATAGGCTGGGAAAGGAAATGGCAAACCCCTCCAGTATTTCTGCCAAGAAAACCCCAGATTGGGCCTCAAAGAGTCCTACGTAACTGAAATGACTAAATAACAGCGAGGGCATGGAAAAGGATTTTAAATCATGAAACTCTATTAGACGTTAATGCACACATTTATAAAATGAAAGAAAAGTATTTATAACATAGTCGAAAAAAGTCAAATTTGTGTTAAAAATCCTCTTCTGATTCTCCTTGTTTGACTTTAGACGTAGTCTGTATGTGCTGAGATATACAACAGAGGGCGCTAAGGATTAAATATGGGGTAGTGATTTTTTAAATTGTGGTTTATGTTTAAGGAACTAAATGATGCTGATAGTGTTCAGCCTCTATCTTTCTCCACCTGAAAAATAAAAAATAAAAACAACAACCCAAAGTTATTGTGGTTTCTCTCCCCCTCTCTCTTTTACACAGTTTCTCTCTCATCAGCTAAATAGCTCTGGCCCTATGATAAGCATCCGTCATTTATACATCACTTTGGGATGCAGCATAATCATTTGCAAGATAATCCGGACACAGGTACCCGGAATGCTGTAGCAATGTGAAGAGTACGCTATGGGGAGCTCGCCAGACACACAGACGCTTGGAAATCAGGAGCCTGCTCTGCTCCATGCTCTGGTTTGTGGGCAATGAGATTCAGAAGGAGGTCGTTCTCACCTTGTTTGGAGTTGACGTCTGTTGGGATGTGGGAAGGATGTGATCCTGGTGAAAAGTGCTCGTCGCTGTAAGTGATGAGGGGAGTGAGAGGGTGGACCGCGTGGGATGGCTGGACCACGGGAACTTTATTGGACTGCAAAGTAACAACAATAACAACTTTAATATTCTTGCCATCCTTTCCTCCCCCTCTCAGAGCCACTCTGACTTGATGCACTAATAACCCCACCCCACCTACTGCCTTAACAGCCGAAGTCATCCGATGACCTGCAAGGGCTTTAATCTCTGACAATGTGTCGCCCACCTTTGTTCAACAGAGCCTCTAAGGCTTCTTGGGCATAGCATAAGACACATCTTTTCAGAGATCAGAACCATTTTTGAGACATCCTATATTGTCAAGTCTGCTATTTTTTTCATTGTGATTATTTCACATATTCTAAAGTAATGGTTGAGTTCTTACATTTGCACCCTTGAAACACTTGAATTAAGTATTTAAGTGGAAATTGCAGTAGTTGAATGTATGATAAAATATTTTTATATTTTATACATATTTTTATATATTTATAAATTATATAATACATAAAATGTTAATTGTGGAATATATAATAAAATGATAACTGATATTAATATAACAATTGAAGTATGTGATAGAATTTATTTACAGTCTTTCACTGAACAAAAATTCAGTTGGATCCATACTCTCCTATTTGTTCAAAATTATTCAGTGCTTTGAAGGGTTTAAAAATCACCTTAACACCATCTTTTTAAAAAAAAGTTTTAGAGATGTCTTAATTCAATCAGTCTCCCATCTTTCTGTTCCTTTGCTTCCTTTTCTGGTTCTGTATATCATACAGACAAGGCTGGATATGGGTGTCCACTATTAAGTCAAACTATATCTGCAACCTACATGCCAACATAATTTCATTTGCCATAATTCCATGAACTCTCTACTTTTGGAAAGGCATTTGAAAAAATAGCAACCTAATATGGAAGTTTCAAACTAGGCATCAGTGTATCTTTTTAGAAATATGTTAACATCTTCATTTAGACTCCAATAATTTAACTCTGATAATTCTGCCTGGGATGTTATCTCTTTTTGTTATGAAGTAACCACGAAGACAAGATTTGCTAAAGTGAGTTAGTCATGTAAACACGAATGCAGGGGCATGTTTAACCTACGTAAGGGAATAAACTGTTTTAAAGAAGTTTAACACATAAAATATCATATGTAAATAAGGTTGCTGATTAAAAGTGAGTCTTATTCATTAAAATAGCCAACCTGCGATCTCTAGTTAGTAATCCTTCTCGAGTAATTACCTAGTAAATGTGTGAACTTGAAAGTAACAAAACTTCATTTATTTAAAATATTCCTTAATTCAGACTTTTTGCTAGTTCAGACTGGCCTTCCCTACAATTAGTATGGAGTAGCTCAGGCCTCACTGTAATGCAAACTAAATGATGTGTGAAGTCTCTTTCCTCCCAGACAAATGCTAGCTAAATTAGGTACAGGAGGCAGACTGAAAAACTTGTGCACTATGTACTGTTTGTGCATAGGGATGCATCCTTAGGAGTCATGTCTCTGAAGCATGTTTATGTCTATGTCACAGTAGCTGTACCCATAACACATGCTAATTTTGCATTTGATGCTTTCTACAAATTAGGTGTAATGTTAAGAGGTGCTGTGGATGAAACATGCATGACTACCCTGAGGAAAAATAGGGGCAATTATCCTAGTAATACTTAATTCTCTTTAACACCCTATCATTACAACCTCCACCCAAAAGGGCTGAGTAGGGGGAGGGGAAAAAATCCCGTGTGTGTGTGTGTGTGTGTGTGTGTGTGTGTGTGTGTGTGTGTGTG